TCACCCGCCTGCCCTCTGCCCCAATAAAGGCAGAACCTTAGTGCCTGATATCTCTCTCTCTCTCTCTCTCTCTCTCTCTCTCTCTCTCTCTCCCTCTCTCTCTCCCTTGCTGTGTGGCCTCCAGGACTTGTCAATAATAAACCTGTGCCTTCAAGGTTCCCTGATGAGTGCTACTGAGGTGCATCTTGCAGTCACAATAAGAACCACAAGGGCGTTTTGTCACCACATTGGCTCTGATTAGGGAACAGTCTGGGGGCTCAGTGCAGGTGGGATGGGCCAGGTGAGTGCCCTGGCCTGTCTAGCCATTAGGTTGAAACTATCCAACAAAACAGCATGGCAGTTCCTTCAAAAATCTAAACATAGAATCACTCTATGATCCAGCAATTCCGCTTCTGGATATATACTCTAAAGAATTGAAAGCAGGGACTTGAAGAGAGATTTGTACAGCCATGTTTACATTAGCTTTATTCACAATACCAAGAGATGAAAGCAACCCAAGTGTCCATTGATTGATGAATGGAATAACAAAATATATAAACATAGAATGGAATTGCTCCTTAAAAAAAAAAAGAAAAATTTTTGTAATTTATTAACATTTATTTTACATGAAACAATTTTCAAAGAATATATTAAAAACCATCTAGCCCTAGCCAGTTTGGCTCAGCAGATAGAGCGTCAGCCTTGGGACTGAGGGCTCCCGGGTTTGATTCTGGTCATGGGCATATACCTCAGTTGCTGGCTTGATGCCTGGCCTGGTTGGCACACATGCGGGGGGCAACCAATCAATGTGTCTCTCTCACATCAATGTGTCTCTCTGTCTCTCCCCTTCCCTTCCAGTCTCTCTAAAAATCAATGAAAAAATATCCCCAGTTGAGGATTAACAAATAATAATAATAATAACCATCTAGATACTGATTCTATTGAATTTCAAATATTGAGAGTGTGAATCAAAAGGGACCACATGCTAACCCAACTAGCTCAAAGAAGGGCCTGCATGGCAGCCTAGCAAACTCAGAGACCTAAAGTAACCACAAAGAATGGTCTGAAGTTAACATTTTTTAAGTTAAAAATCAATTTATGGTGGGAAGTCATGTCTTAGGCTGGCACCTCACCTGGGAAGACCAACAGTTTATTTGGACTGTAATGCCCCAGGGATATACAGAACGTCCCACCTATTTCTCCCAGATATTAAAAGCTGATCTAAATTTCCTAGAGTTTCCACTCTAATCTAGTATGTAGATGACTCATGTTCTAGGACATTACTAGACCCTCAAAAGAACACAATGTACCTACTGCAGCAGTTAGCTATAAAAGGACATAAGGTCTTGAAGGATAAGGTTCCATTTTGCTTACCTCAATAAATGCTTTGGCCATGTCATATCTAAAGATGGGCTACTGATTCACCCTGAAAGACTTAGAGGAACCCTATCTTTCCCTCTTCCAAAAACAAGAAAGCAGCTTGGAGGATTCCTGGTGTTGACTGGATATTGTAGAAATTGGGTTCCACACTTTTCATTGATAGCCCAGCCTCTATGGGCCCTATTCAAGTCAGACCAACCCTCTCCAATCCAATGGAGCCCTGCAGGGAAACAAGCTGAAGAAGCTCTTAAGGAAGTACTGTCTGATGCTCCTGCTCTGGGGCATCTGAGCTATACACTTCCTTTCTTCCTTTTCTCATATGAAAGTAATGGAAATGCTTCAGGAGTTCTGACTCAGAAACATGGAGATCACCACAGACCTATAGGGCATTATAGGCAGCAACACTAGACTCAGCGGCAACAGGGCTCCCTCCCCGCCTGTAGGAGGTCAATCTCTGCTACAGCCATGCTATGTGAACACACAGAAGAGAAGGTCGCAGGGTGACAGGCAGGAGGAGAGGTAAACGAGTGAAATCTACCATCTCGGGCCTCCCAGCCTTAGGACTAGCTCCCTGGCCTTAGCTTCCTCAGTGACAATGACACCGTCAGGAATGTGTCCCCCTAAAGAGAGGGGCCACAGTCAGAAAGCCGGGGTCAGAGGAGCAAAGTCTGGCATTGGACCCCAGCGTCCTGGAGAATGTGAGCGAGCCCGACACTCTGGGATGAGGGGACAGAGATGTAAGAATTAGGAAGTTTTCCTATCAAAGCTATAGTTTAGCTATTAACTCCATTTCTTTTTTTTATAATCCTTTATTTTGTACTCAAATCTACCCAGGCCTCCCTTCCTGGAAAAGACAAAGGCATAGCTCTCCCCCATTTCCTGGAAGACAGTTAAAGTCTAATAGCTACTTAAAACCACAGACATTCCTATAGGAGACAAGACATAGTTTTGCACCATGTCTGGGCAGGCATTTGAAACAGCCCCACTGGTACCTTGCGCTGCCCTCTTCATACAAACCCAGCAAGACAAGTTGTCTTCGTTAGGTTGGATCAAACAATTGAATTGATACCCCTCCCCTGGGAACTGACCTTTAGGCACCTTCACAATGGAAATCCCACTGGCCTAGACTACAGTCCACTTGCTGAGACCATTATCTCTCCCCTCCGGACTTCCAGAATCCGGACCTGCACAGAGAATTCTCCGCCCAGAAAAAGCCCGCCAAAAGTCCTTTAAAAACCGCTGACGCCCGTCACTGGGTGCTGGTGCCATTTTGGGGCTCAGCCCATCTGGTATCCAGATGACCTGATAAATTCATAATTCTTTACCCCTTTGGCCTCGTGCGTTCCTCCTTTGGTGACCCTAACAGTCTTATCACATCCATTTCACAGAGACAGGCTAAGAGAGTTCAGTCACCCAGGTAGGAAATGGGGAGCCAGAGTTTGAACCCACATCTACTGGTCCCCTGGGACTCTGTGAGACTCACCACCTCACTCAGGGTGATTGGGGGCTCTCCTAGCACCTCCCAGTATAGGACCCCAGGGAACTGCAGTCCTGGGCTTTTCTCTAAATGAGTAAGTGGCCTCTGGGCGTACATCAGTCTTTGATGGACTTAGTCACTGTGAGCCTGTAATCCACCTGTGGGTATCAGGCCTGGGTGAGAAGGACTGGACTCTGGTGCATAGTTAGTTTATAGGATTGAGTCACCATGGATGCTCTTTGGAGGGTGGTGAAGCAGAGGCTAGAGACCCTGTGCCAGGTGAAGTTCAGGGCTGCTGGGTGGGGCAGTGGCAGGGCCTGGAGTTGTGTGGGGGCCAGAGCTCAGAGCTGGCCGTTCACCTCCAAGTAGGATCCACCCAGCTGACCAAAGCGAGACTTGCCAAAGTCAGGTGGGAAGTCAGGCTTCCTGTCCCATCCCACTTCTAGGCACAATTGTGTTGAGTAAGCCGGATCTTTCTGAGTGTCTGCAGGATGCAACCAAAGTGCGCGTCCTCAGAAATTAGCTAGAAAAGAGCATCACTGTGTCTTGTCTTTGTATTTTGAAAACCTGGGACAAGCCTGGGCCTTGGCAAGTGTTGGGCGGGATAGATGGTATGGATGAATGGATAAATGGGCATAGTGACCGATGGGTGGGTGAATTAATAAATTACTAAGAGAATGCATTAACACACCTGCAACTTTCTAGGTCCAAGTCTTGGTGAAAGGCACTGGATCTCATTATTACATCATCATTATTGCTAATGATCATGATTCCATTCACCTCCATAACCATTACCTGTGGCTGTGCCTCACTAACTTGGCTCACATTTTCTCACTGAATTCTCACAACATGATGCTATTCTCCTTTCACAGAGATTATGTATGGGGACAAGATCCCACAACTCTGAAACAAACACCCAGTCATAGCATCCAGTCAAGATTTGAACCAGGTTTGTATGATTCCAAATGAGATTATAATAAAGATTTGTCTCCTGCCCCAAAGCTGCTGACAGTAAAGTTCTCAGCATACAAGTCGGATCAATACTACTCACTGGCCTGAATCCTTCCAGGACAGGAAATATTGTCTCTCCAGGTGGGTAGTCTTAGCACCCTGGACAGCACCTGGCACTTCAAAGTGTTCAAGGAGAGAATGCATGAGTCAGCTTCCTCATCTGTGGGGTGGGCAAAGTGCTAGATAGGACACTTGCAGGGATGAAATGAGAATTCAAGTTGGATGGCCAGCTTGTCAGGCCTTGAAACCTACCCTACGGTGGCCACCCTTGTAACTGCAGCCTGCTGGGTCTTGCAGGGCTCCAGAGAGGCCACATGACCCTGATGAGGCCCACTTCTATTGTGAGGAGATGTTGGATGGCCCGGAAGCGTTGCAGGAATGAAATGAGAATTCAAGTTGGGTGGCCAGCTTGCCAGGCTTTGAAGCCCACCCTCTGGTGGCCACCCTTGTAACTGCAGCCTGCTGGGTCTTGCAGGGCTCCAGAGAGGCCACATGACCCTGGTGTTTGGGTGCCGGCGCCCAGATGAGGACCACCTTTACCGGGAGGAGATGTTGGAGATGGCCCGGAAGGGGGTGCTGCATGAGGTGCACACAGCCTATTCTCGCCTGCCTGGCCAGCCCAAGGTAATGGGGCAACTGCCCGAGCAGTGGGAGGAGCATTAAAAGCACAGACTATGGTGGGTGCCCTGGCTCCCCACACACACGCCCCTCACATCTCTGAGCCTTCATCTTAGCTCTAGAATGTAGGCAGTTACTGTCAGAGCGATGCTGGGAAGCTCTTCCATTCACTCTTCCGGGAGAAGAGATAGGCCCTGAGACCTTCAGGACAAAGTCAGGGCCACATGGTGGCTTAATCCCCAGGCACAGCCTGCTGAGATCCTTCCCCTGAAACTCACTTGCCTGGGGAGAGGTGGTCCAGGCCGCTTTATGCACCACCACAGCAAGGCTGGAGGGCGGCTCAGGACTAAGTCAGGGCCACATGGTGGGTTAATCCCCGGGCACAGCTGAGATCCTCCCCCTGAAACTCACTTGCCT